TGTATTTTAGGGTTTCAAAACCTAAACCCTGAACCCTTAACACTCACCACCCTGTATTTTAGGGTTTCAAACCTAAACCCTGAACCCTTAACACTCACCACCCTACATGTTAGACTTCAAACCTAAACCCTGAACCCTTAACACTCACCACCCTGTATGTTAGATTTCAAACCTAAACCCTAAACCCGAAACCCTAAACCCGAAACCCTAAACCCTAAACCCTAACACCCCTGTTTAGGGTGTAGGGTTTAGGGTTTAGGGTTTAGGGTTTAGGGTTTAGGGTTTAGGGTTTCGGGTTTAGGGTTTGGGGCTTAGGGTTTGGGGTCTCCCTCCCTGGGTGTCTGGCACCCCGAAGATCTTGTGTTCCGGACGCCCCCGGGAGGGCGCGCTGCACTCGGGCCTTAAGAATAGGGTGCAGGAGTTTAGGGCCTAGGGTTTAGGGCTTAGAGCTTAGGCCTTAGGGTTTACGGTTTAGGGTTTGTGTAGGGGGGGGGGGGGGAGGGGTTGAGGTGTTGGGCTGTGTGCGTGCGCGTGCTCATGTGTTCTGAGGGCTTTAGGGTTGAGCCTTTTTTTGGCGTAATTAAGGCTTCGTCTTTTTTGGGGTGTGTCTCGTGTGCACGACAAGTCCAAAGACTACCGTGCTAGAGCTTCAGCGTTCGTAATTGGGGTTTATCGGGCTTACAGGGCTTGTAGGGTGTAGGGCGAAAAGTGTAGGGTGTAGGGTGTAGGGTGCAGTATAGGGGTCGAAATTGCCTAGCGCATTCCCTTGTGGTCCCTTCATATTTATACTATACCAACCCCTCCCCCCCAAACAAAAAAAAAGCTATTCTAGATGCTCAGGCTCCTACATTAGGATGTTGCAATGCCCATAAGTGGCAACCCTTGCCCAAGTCGTGCTGGGGCATGAAGCTACAACCGATAGCCCCGATCTTCGCCCGTGTGGTCGGTGCGAAGCACGATACTTTACAGGAAAAGGGTTTAGGGTTTAGGGGTTAGGGGTTCGGGGTTTAGGGGTTTAGGGGTTTAGGGGTTGAGGGGTTTAGGGTTTAGGGTTTAGGGTTTCGGGTTTCGGGTTTAGGGTTTAGCGAACCCCGCCCTAAACTTTGAACCCTAGTTAAACCCGCCATTCCGGGTCTCTTGGCTCTCATCTGGGTCCGCGAAACACTAACCCCTAAACCCGAACCCCAAACCCTACAAACACCCTAAACACCCTATCAACCCTATGAACCGTATAAACCCTATAAATCCTATAAACCCCGTAGACCAACCTCAAACCCTAAAGCCTGAGCACCGGCACATAAAGCTGCCAGGCTCCCTCATCGTGCCCCAGCCTGACTTCGGCTTGGGGTCATAGGGTTTAGGGTCTAGGGTCTAGGGTTTAGGGTGTAGGGTTTGGGGTTTAGGGTTTGGGGTTTAGGGTTTAGGGTTTAGGGCTGCAGATTCTTTAGGCTGCTATAGACCAGCGGCAGCACCTGCAAAGCGCTGTCGCCAGCCGGTGCAAGTCCGTAGGCTCAAACCTCGATGGGCTGCACTGGGGCTTGCAGGGCTAGGGTTTGGGGTTTGGGGTTTGGGGTTTGGGGTTTGGGGTTTGGGGTTTGGGGTTTGGGGTTTAGGGTTTAGGGTTTAGGGTTTAGGGTTTAGGGTTTAGGGTTTAGGGTTTGGGGTTTGGGGTTTGGGGTTTGGGGTTTGGGGGTTTGGGGTTTCGGGTTTAGGGCTTGCAGGGCTCTTCTTCGGCCGGGGAGTTTGGGGCTTCGAGGGTTTACGCAGGGGGTGAACCCTACAGACCCTAAATCCTTCTTTTTCACCTTCCCTCGAAGTCCATCTAATGGAGGTTTACGAAAATAAGGATCGGGAATATCAACCCCCAAATGGTAGGATTCCATTGCAATATGGCCCCCATGTTCGGTGCAGGCTCGACAGGTTTCGGGCTTAGGGTCTAGGGAGTTCCAAGTATAGCTACCTACTTGACAACCCCAGAGACAACTCCTCATGAACCCCAACCTGAAACCTTGAACCCTGAAGCCCTAAACGCGAACTAGACCCGAAAATCCCTCAAAAACCCTAAACCCTAAACCCTAAACCCTAAACCCTAAACCCTACACCCTACACCCTACACCCTAAACCCTTTTCTTGAGTTCCTGGCGCCTCGGCCTGAGGCAGCGCTTTCGCCGCCAAGGCCTTCTCAGGACCCGCCGCTGCCCAGATCAACCCGGAGATTAACTAAGGGTTTAGGGTTTAGGGTTTAGGGTTTAGGGCTTAGGGCTTCGGGCTTAGGGCTTAGAGTTTAGGGCTGAGGGCTTAGGATCTAGGTTCAGGGTTTAGGGTTGGGATGTTCCCTCGTATACTAACAGCTCCTTAATAGGGATGATAACAGGGTGTACTAAAAATCCCTGTGAAGGACTGTTAGTACAAGGGGGAACATCCCAAGGTTGTAGGGCTTTGGGGCTTTGGGTTTTAGGGCCTTGGGCTTTTGGGGCTTTGTGGGGGCTTTGGGGATTTTCACAAAGTTGTCGTCGGTGCTTTTGAGGCTTCAGGGTGGTGCTGCGGCCCTGCTTCCCCTAAACCCTAAACCCTAAACCCTAAACCCTAAACCCTAAACCCTAAACCCTTTGTGGCTTTGCTGCTTAGGAACACCCCGTGGCCCTGCTTCCATGCCTGCGTGGCTGCCGGCGGCAGCGTCCGAAAGCGCGCCAGCGACCAGGACAATCCTTGCCAGTGGGCGGGGGGTTAAGGGGTCTGGTGCTCAGGGTTTATGAGGGTTTGCTAGGGTTTTGTAGGTTTTAGGGGTTTGGGGGTTGAAGAGCTGACCCACCTCCGGGTCTAAGGAGGTTCAGGGGACTTATTGACGAATTATGACTGTACTTCTAACTGTACTTCTAACCATATTCGGGACACTTAACGGGCACATTAGGGGGGTAACCCTAAACCCTAAACCCTAAACCCTAAACCCCAAACCCCAAACCCTAAACCCTAAACCCTAAACCCTAAACCCTAAAACCCTAAACCCTAAGCCCGTGTTTTTGGGTTTTCGGGGTTCGGGTCAGGGAGCAACTCACAAGCTTGGGCTGCGACGCGACAGGTCCCTGGGCTGCAGCCTCAACAGCTCTGAAGCAATTTAGGGTTTAGGGTTTAGGGTTTGGGGTTTAGGGTTTAGGGTTTGGGGTTTGGGGTTTAGGTTTAGGGTTTAGGGTTTCGGGTTTTAGGGTTCAGGGCTTAGTTTACCTGTAGGATTCGGGTTGAGGGTTTCATCGTCCCTCTGTACATGCGTTGAGCTCAGCACCTGACTCCTGCGACAGTCGGGCGGCGTTCTCCCTGCAATCAGGATGCATTTGTATCTGTAGACTGCGGAATGTGGCCCAACGCACACCGGGTGCCACACTGGCACTTTCGCACATGCTCAGCAGCGAAGCCTGTAAGGCACGACGTGGCCACAAGGCAGCTGATTGAAAGCAGCGGGGAAAAGCGGGGACAAATGCTGTTGCTTGGCTTCTGGCCCGTCTTGGGCGCACGCAGCTTTGCCAGCAGCCAGAACACCTGCTTGCAACAAAGAGCTTCTGCTGTCTCAACCAATAAGCCGCCCGACTCCTCTCAAGCCCTAAACCCTAAACCGCGCACCCTAAGCTCTGAACCGCAATCCTTAAATCCAAACACTGAACTCTGAATCCTAAGCCGTAAACCCTGAACTCTAAGCCCTAAACCCTAATCCCTAAACCGCAAACCCCAAACCCCGAACTCCGAAGTCAACTCAAAGTGCATCAAGAGACTAAAGGAGGGACCCTTATAAGGGATCTTAGGCGATATTTGGGGGCTACTTACTTAGGGGTATAAGGACTATATAAGGCATCCCTAAGGTGTTTTTGGCTTCACCTAAACCCTAAACCCTAAACCCTAAACCCTAAACCCTAAACCCTAAACCCTAAACCCTAAGCCCCAAAAAAGTATGTAGCGCCTCCACCTGCCGTGGGCTATCCCAGGCCACTTCTTCCAGGCACTTGGAGGTCCAGAGCGGAGCCTTGGAGGTGGTGGAGGGTTTAGGGTTTAGGGTTTAGGGTTTAGGGTTTAGGGTTTAGGGTTTAGGGTTTAGGGTTTAGGGTTTAGGCTTCAGGCTTCAGGCTTTAGGGCTTTAGGGCTTTAGGGCTTTAGGGCTTTAGGGCTTTAGGGCTTTAGGGCTTTAGGGCTTTAGGGCTTTAGGGCTTTAGGGCTTTAGGGCTTTAGGGCTTTAGGCTTTAGGGCTTTAGGGCTTTAGGGCTTTAGGGCTTTGGGCTTTAGGCTTTAGGGCTTTGGGGCTTTAGGGCTTTGGGCTTTGGGCTTCGGGCTTCGGGCTTCGGGCATTGGGCTTTAGGCTTTAGGCTGTAGGCTTTAGGCATTAGGACTTTGGGGCTTTAGGGCTTTAGGGCTTTAGGGCTTTAGGGCTTTCGGGCTTTCGGGCTTTAGGGCTGTAGGGCTTAGGGTTAGGGTCGAAAGCTAAAGTTTAGGGTTTAGGGTTTAGGGCTTTTGGGGTCTACAGGGTTTAGGTTCAGGGTTTAGGGTTTAAGGTACGTCAGTGAGGGTGCACGCTTGGGTGCGGAGCACCCCATGTGCTCGTATCGCTTGGCAGCACCCGGTCCTCCAATCGGGTTTGGGGTTTAGGGTTTAGGGTTTCGTGCTTAGGATTTAGGGTTTAGGGTTTAGGGTTTAGGGTTTAGGGTTTAGGGTTTAGGGTTTGGGCTTTAGGGTCTAGGGTTTAGGGTTGAGGGTTGAGGGTTTAGGGTGCCTAATATAGGATAATAGTCCCTCAGGGTCCCTTGAATAGTTTGCTGTAATAACCCCCAATATTCAAATTATTAAGGCTCCTATACTAGGCTGGCCCCTTAAACGTTCTGAAAGAAAGTATAAAATGTCCCAAAGGGCCTACCCGGGCCTACCGGTTGCAGCTCGTACATATTTCTGACACATACACCCTGGTTTGGGAAGAATCTGCCAACGCGTCGGGCCTTCAGGCAATTTGCTTGTGCTTGTGGGCCCTTCGAGCAGGCCTAACCCCAAAACCCTTGCCCGCTTTATCTCCCGGAAAGAGGAAAGCAAAAGAGCCATGCCACTTCTACGCTTGACCAAGCTCCTCTCTCAATGGGCGAACAAGATACGGGGGTTCCCAAATAGCGTTTTGCCCTTTTGCTCCTACATTCAGGGTTAGAATGCTTTGAGGTAGCACTTGGAGGCTCATGAGTACTTAGAAGTCCTTATTTACGGCACTCATAAGCTGACGTATCAGTATCCGTGAACCTTCAGGTCAGGGTGCCCCTATCCTGGGAAAAAATGCCGAAGTTTTTCTGCGCGAGAATCATGGCATTGCATGGCGTCAGCATGTCTGGAAGCCGCTCACAAGTGGCCTGGCCAAAGCAAATTGCGTGCAGGTCTTAAGGGTTCGGGGTTCAGGGGTTTAGGGGTGCACCTGCCATGGCAACCAAAAAACGCCTCGAACATGACTTGGACCCCTAAACCCTGAACCCTATAAACCCTAAACCCTAAACCCTAAACCCTCATTGGAGGAAGGTCAGATCGCAGCTAGAGCAAGCGGTGGAAGCGTGAAGAATCTTATGCTCACATAATGATCGCGTAATAAACGAATCTATAGTCCTTTACTAGCCCTAAGGGTCCATGTACCTAAATGGGGATACTTTAAGGCCCAAATACTCCCTATTTGGGTACATGGACCCTTAGGGTAGTATACAAATACCCTAATACACGATTATACTATGCTACGAGTATACGAATACACGAAGATCATACTCTAACACAGCCTCCGGAAGCAGCTGCGCCAGGCCAGAAGCCCAGCGTTCGTAGCGCTCATCTGGGCCTCTGGCGCACCCTCTCAGAGATCAGCACCCCCTAATAACCCTAAACCCTAAACCCTGAACCCTAGACCCTAAAAAGCCAAGCTGACATGCATCCCTGGACGAATTTACTAATGCAAGCAAGTGATAGTATAGACATCTTGTTCACGAATAGAGTAGTCTATTCTTCTGTAATATGATGATAAAATAATCTAACAGTCATCTAAGAATATTAATTATACTCTAATACTACAAAAAAATACTGATTTATTCATAGCGCAATCTATGAATCTACTCATATAGCCATACAAGAACATAATGAAAAAGCCCTACAAGACACCAAAGTATCCCAAAAGCAGCCTCAAGCCTCCCCCTGCCTGCACCCGCCACGGTCAGGAGGCTCTTCGGCACCTCCGGCATCAACGTCTCGGCACGCTTCAGGTCGATGCCGCGCAGCAGGCAGCAGGGGCAAAGGAGGATGGCCACGCACCTCGGGTTGAGCAGCGACGCGCGCACAGGCACAGGCACACGCACACGCACACACGCGCACGCACACAGGCACGGGCGCACGCAGAGGCACAGGCGCAGAGAGACCCAAAAAAAGGGGACCTCCTGTTCAGGCTTGTAATGCATTGGGGGCTTTATTCTTCGGGGGAGGCAGTCGCCAACGAAGACAAAGACTCATTGCAGATGTGGCATCAGCACTTACATGGGCCCCTGTGTTACTAAGAGCTTAGGGAACCTGCTCGTAGAGGGTTACCGTTGGGTGATTGTAGGGCTAAAGTTTTAAAGCATGGGTTTGGGGCTTGGGGCTTTGGCTTTTGGGTTTGGGGTCTAGTCCAAGCATCTGGACATTTTTTCCAAAATAGCGGCACCCCTGGTACCCTCCCCTCCTCCCCCCAAAAATATGAGCCTTCCTGTAGGAAAGCCCCAAAGGGTACCGCTAACCATCTCAAGCATGGCAAGAGCTACCCAAATTAAACCCTAAACCCTAAACCCTAAACCCTAAACCCTAAACCCTAAACCCCCGTGCAGAAGCCGAGATTTGCACTGAGGGAAGCGATTGTAGATCTGTGTTGCCACGACGCTCAAGGCCTCAGCGCTCGCTGCAGCTCAGACTTCCAAGCAACAGCGAAGGCGATGTGAATCATTGGACACAGGGTTTGGGGTTTATATAGGGTTTAGGGTTTAGGGTTTAGGGTTTAGGGTTTAGGGTTTAGGGTTTAGGGTTTAGGGTTTAGGGTTTAGGGTTTAGGGTTTAGGGTTTAGGGCTCCTCCTTCCAAGCCAGCGACCCCGCAGCAGTGCATTCCCAGGACGACGACTGGCAGTGCCACATCCAGCAGCGCTTTTTCCATAACTTCCAGGAAGCCTGGACAAGAACGGTTTGGGTTTGTAGGGTCAACCCTAAACCCTAAACCCTAAACCCTAAACCCTAAACCCTAAACCCTAAACCCTATACCCCAATCCCTAAACCCTAAACAGTCGCCTGGTCGAGTCATGTCCTCACAGAGATAGCTCACATTGGCGATTCCGGCCTCCACGAGCCATATCCCGTCACTGTAGCTTGGGGGTTCAGGGTTTAGGGTTTAGGGTTTAGAGTTTAGAGCCTAGTGTTTAGGGCTTAGGGTTTAGGGTTTAGGGTTTAGGGTTTAGGGTCTAAGGTTTCGGGTTTAATTCGTGCAACTGCAAATGCCGAAGACCTCGCGGAAATGGGGAAGCTGCTGCCGAGGGCGGATGTCCACGGCAGTTACCTCAAGGTGGCTTCAAACCTATAAACCCTAAACCCTAAACCCTAAACCCTAAACCCTATATATAAACCCGACAAAACCGATAAACCCTATACACCCTATAAACCCTGTAACCCTATAAGCCCTATAAACCTTGCAAACCATGCAAACCCGATAAACCCTAAACTCTACAAACCCGGTAAACCCTAAAAACCCCCTAAACCCTGAGTCGTAAACCTCAAGGGTTTCGGCTAAAGCCTAAACCCTACACCCGAAACCCCAGACCCTAAACCCCCAACTAAACCCCAGACTAGTCGAGGGTCCGTGCTCTTGGGTGCCGAAAGTGCCAAGAAGGTCGCAGTCATGGCGCTCCCGCAGCAGAGGTCCACAAAGTGCAGCGCCTCTGGGGTTTGGGGCTTAGGGTTTAGAGTTTAGGGTTTAGGGTTTGGGGTTTAGAACCCTTGAAAGTGTGAACACTCCCCACCTGCCCCCCGCTCCTCCCCCCCCCCACCCCCAAAAAACAAACGAAGCACCCTAAGCTAGGGATGTTCCTCTCTATGCTAACAGTCCTTTAAAGGGATCCTAGTACCCCCTATTACAATCCCTCTGAAGGACTGTTCGAAAAAGGGGGAAACATCCCTAAACCCTAAACCCTAGAGGATCCAGCAAAGGCGCCTCGTCCTCCCATGGCCGCAGCTTTCTCAGCGACTCTAAGATTGCCATCGACTCGGAGACCTCCTTCAGACATGGGGTTTAGGGGGCTGGGGTTTAGGGTTTGGGGTTTAGGGTTTAGGGTTTAGGGTTTAGGGTTTAGGGTCTAGGGATTAGAGTTTGGGGTTTGGGGTTTGGGGTTTGGTGTTTGGGGTTTGGGGTTTGAAGTTTAGGGTTTAGGGCTCAGGAAAAGTGAGCCGTGTCAGTGGCTTGACATCTGAGGTTGGGATTGACATCCGATTGAAACTGAAGCCCTCAACCCTAAAACCCTAAAATCCTACCCTAAGCCCTAAACCCTAAAACCCTAAATCCCAAGCACAAAACCCTGAAACCCTAAACCCCAAGCCCTAAACCCTAAGCCCTCACCAATCTATGGGAGCATCCCGGCAGAGCATGGAATTCGAATCATCGCCACTCGGTGGCCAACACTCATACGCAACGCTCCCCCCAAGGTGTTGAGCACTTCTCGCAGCAAGCACGGAGGGTCCACCGAGGGTTTAGGGTTTAGGGTTTAGGGGTTTAGGGTTTAGGGTTTAGGGTTTAGGGTTGAGGGCTTAGGGCTTAGGGTTTAGGGTTTAGGGTTCAAGGAGCTCTTTCGGGCGACTCCTGGCGGAAGTTGTGGCAGTTCGCTGCTCGATGCAGGGCAGTCTGCTGGAGTGCCGCAGCCGCCGGCTGCTCCTCAGCTTGCAAGATGGTGCTAGTAGGTGCTTAGGGTTTAGGGTTTGGGGTTTAGGGTTTGGGGTTTGGGGTTTAGGGTTTGGGGTTTCGGGTTTGGGGTTTCGGGTTTCGGGTTTGGGGTTTGAGGTGTAAGGCTGCTCTCTGCATTGCAGTGGCAAGATGTCGCAACAGAAGTGGGGGGAGGGGGGGGGGGGAGAGTGGCAACGTCTTCGAGGACGTTTCTAGGAGACTGAACCCGCTTGCTCTCGTACGCGCAGTGTTGCGCGCCCTGACCTGGTTTGTGTCATCTTGCCCGAGCTCAGTCCAGCAATCTTGGTCTGGCGCACTTCAGAGCAGCGGCAGCTTCTTGGGAATCTGTGGCTACTGACAACTTTGCCCTGGCCCTATTTGCCAGCCGAACTGCTAAAGCTCAGCGTCCGGTGGCTACGCTCTTGCTTGACGCCTGAGGTTGGGGCAAAGAAGCTCCGCACCAGGGGGTTTGGCTCATCACCCTTCTTGACACGCTCACCTCAGCTTCGGACATGCTCGAGCATTCAGTCGTCATGTCATTTGTTGGCAAACCATCGTGGACAGTCTAGGGGACCTAAACCCTAAACCCTAAACCCTAGACCCTAAACCCTCTGAACAGCCCAAGCTGCCGAGCGCCAGCAGCGCGCTGCGCTTTGCAAGCTCGTCCCCGCAGGTCGGGCAGCGGAGCTTCCCGGGCGCATCGGGGATGGACCTCCGATGTAGGGTTTAGGGTGTAGGGTTTGGGTTGAAAAATTTGGGTTTTGGGTTTAGGGCAAACTTAGTAGGGAATGAGGGTACAGCCCTTAAAGGGAAGGTAGGGTGTATTTCTAGGGTCGGCTCTGTGGGGGGGGGGGGGGGGATCTTGGGGACTTAGTGATATATTGCACTATACTAGATTGGTCAATTCGCCACATTATGGTCCCTTTTTGGGCACCCTAAATAATCGGGGCCGCCTTATGATAGTAACCTCAAAAGGGTCCACATGTAGAGAAATCACAGCATGGTGTTGGGTCATTTGAAACAAACCGTTTTTGAAATACACCCTAATCCCTAAAGCTAAACCCGTAATCCTAAACCCTAAAGCCTAAACCCGAAACCCTAAACCCCAAAACCCTAAGCCCTAAACCCTAAACCCTTTTTGGTTGCACCCAGGACTCAGGGAACCTCTCCAGCACTTGCAGCCGCTGCACCAGCGCTTGGGAGAGCCCCAGGCCCTTGCAAAGGATGGAGGAGCTGGGTTTAGGGTTTAGGGTTTTGGGTTTAGGGTTTAGGGTTGAGGGTTGAGGGTTGAGGGTTCAGGGTTTAGGGTTTAGGGTTTAGGGTTTAGGGTTTAGGGTTTAGGGTTTAGGGTTGAGGGCAAGATGCAGAACAGGAAGCAACGCTGTAATGGTGGTATTGCAGGATCCCTTTGTGGCCTGTGCTCTCGTAGAGTCTTGCAAGCGTGCCAGTGCGCTTAATAGGCAGGTTTACGAAAGCAGGGGACCGCCAACATGGACCCTAAGTGGTAGGATCCCCTCATAAAAGGGACCCCGAAAAGGCCCTAAACCCTAAACCCTAAACCCTAAACCCTAAACCCTAAACCCTAAACCCTAAGCCCTAAGCCCTAAGCCCTAAACCCTAAATTTCGAAAAACCACCATGTCTGGCCAGCCTGTGCGACATCAGCAGCCGCTTGATGTCGAACTCTTGCCTCTGTCCGTAAGGCCACATGGGGGGTTTACGAAGATATAGGGACCGCAATATAGATGCCCAAATACGCTCCTCAAAAGGCCCCAATAAGGTACCCCTATTTTCGGAAACTTCCACATCGTACTTCGCTCCAAGCACGCAGAGACTGAACAACTCCCCACAATTGTTGCACCACCACATCGCAAGCCACTATAGGATCTAGGTCCCACCCACAGCCTTTAAGAGATTCATGAAAACACCCTAAACCCTCCACCCTAAACCCTAAACCCTAAACCCTCAACCCTAAACCCTAAACCCCAACGCAATGTGTTTGTAAAGAATCTTGTTCCTCATTTGTTGCTCAAATCTGCTTCAAACTGATCTAAACCCTAAACCCTATAGCAACTGCGGTCTTCAGTCGCACTTTTCCCAAGCACGGCCAACCTTGCCAACACCCCACCGCAGTCAGAGCTGGGCAGGAACCAGGGTGCATTAGGGTTTGGGGTTTAGGGTTTAGGGTTTAGGGTTGAGAACCCAAGAGCAGGGTTCAGAGCACCAAGGCCAACACCAAGCGGAGGGCCGGGCTAGCACGCTCTGATCTTAAGGGCCAGCTGCAAAACACGGGGTTCGACACCCTAAACCCTGAACTCGAAACCCTAAACCCTAAACCCTAAACCCTACACCCTAAACCCTGAACCCTGAACCCTGAACCCTGAACCCTGAGCCTTGGCAGCCAGGGCGGCGCTGGGCGACTCGAGCATGAGTTCCAGAACGTCTGCGGGGGCGGCCTCCATCCAAAACAAGGGTTTAGGGTTACGGTTCAGGGTTTAGGGTTCAGGGTTCAGGGTTCAGGGTTCAGGGTTTAGGGTTTAGGGTTTAGGGTTTAGGGTTTAGGGTTTAAGGTTTAAGGTTTAAGGTTTAGGGTCTAGGGTCCAGGGTCTAGGGTTTAGGGTTTCGGGTTAGGCCACGAGCCATAAAACACGATCTTGGTTTCGTGCTCAACCCTAAACAGCCGCAAAACCTAAACCCTACACCCTATGCCCTCAAACCTTAACCACCCTAAACCCAAAACCCTAAACCCGAAACCCTAAACCCTAAACCCCAACCGAGCCCCCCCCCAAAAAAAAAGGACAGCACAACAAACCTCCAAGCCGCGCCTGGCGCAATGCCTGCACCAGGGCCGTCGCGCCGCTTCGACCCCTGGAGATCACCAGCTCTGTGAAGGTTTAGGGTTTAGGGTTTAGGGTTTTAGGGTTTAGGGGTTTAGGGGTTTAGGGGTTTAGGGGTTTAGGGGTTTAGGGGTTTAGGGGTTTAGGGGTTTAGGGGTTTAGGGGTTTAGGTGTTTAGGGGTTTAGGGGTTTAGGGGTTTAGGGGTTTAGGGGTTTAGGGGTTTAGGGGTTTAGGGGTTTAGGGGTTTAGGGGTTTAGGGGTTTAGGGGTTTAGGGGTTTAGGGGTTTAGGGGTTTAGGGGTTTAGGGGTTTAGGGTTTAGGGTTTAGGGGTTTAGGGTTTAGGGTTTAGGGTTGAGGGTTTGGGGTTTAGGGTTGAGGGTTGAGGGTTGAGTGGGGGTTTAGAGTTTAGGGTTTAGGGTTTAGGGTTTGGGGTTTAGGGGTTCAGGGTTCAGGGTTTAGGGTTTAGGGTGTAGGGTCCGCCGACCCTGGCGGCGTGTTGGATGGGAAAAGGAGGTGAAAACCTCCCTCTTTCCCTCCTTACCCCCCCAAAACGCGGGGGGGGGGGGGGGGTAGGGGGGGGGGTACCCGGGCAGCTTTTCCATGGAGGGCCAGGCCACCCACACCGCATAAACTCACGGACCAGAGGCGGTTTCGCACAGGACATAGGGGCCGTTTGGGAAAAAACCCGCAAAAAACAAGCTGGCTTCAGCTCCTGTTTGGGTCC